ACCTTCAAGTGTCTAGTTTATTCTCCCGGAGTTTCAACCTCTTCCGATTAATAGCGGCCGCGCAAGTGGTTATTAAAATGTGTCAGGTTTTTCTGCCCAACCCTGTATTACATCCGATCCACATCGGCGTATTTTCTATTTGTAGTGCATGACAGAACATCCATGCTAGATCAATTTGTTGAACAAATTTAAAATACACTAAAATTGAAAACCGCGATGAAATATACAGAAGCAGTAAATTTTCTACTAATCTTGGCTTTTTTGCATTATTATAATCGCTTGAACCATCTTTAACAATATTTTCATTAGTCTCAGTTTTGTTAATAATATGGTCAGCGTTGGTGTTAATGTGTTGAAATATTATGCCCACGGTATCATGCAGAGTGTCTTTTCTATTAGCAGTGTCGACAAATCGATCAAAATTATTAAAAGCTAAGCTTGTGCATAAATTTGATGATCGTAAAATATCTTCCAGACATATATCTGACCGGCTGCAGTGTACATATTTCGAAAAAAAGGTTGCTTCTGTTTCTAAATCTTCTAATATCGAATAACTACAACAGTGTCCATATTTATTAACAATATTCACAATTTTTTTACTGTTTGTCAAGCCTCTTAGTGCCATACCCAAAGTAATATGTTTCGAAGTTTGAACATTTAATCTGTCCATTCGAAACGGCATAGATTACATCTTGTGAAAACGAATCAACTATTCTCTGGCAATTATTACTGCGTTTACGGCGATAATCATTTCCGCTTAATAATGTATTGTTACGCCCGGGGCGGTAAAACTCGCGTTCGCGCACTTGAACCTGTGTTACCCGCGTTTCCGCACTCGGGTACGCGCACGCGTACCGGATCGCCGCGGAGAAATAAAGGGAACACCAACTTAAGAAGTGACAAACTCTTTAATGCAAGAGAACGTAGCGAAATACAGAAAGAGGTCAGAGCACGTCCGAACGGGTCAACGGCTCGTCTCCAAATCTCATGGCGTCCGTTTGACAACGAGGAATCTCGTCCTGGAAACAAGTAAATCTCGACGGCAGCTCGACCAGCTCGCTCAATTCGCAACGGCGCGGGCGTAACAGTATTATACATATTATTGACTCTTTTAGGTACACTGTATTTTTCTTTAATTAAATCAATAACTGTTAATTGCTCTGGCAATACATTTTTTTTCCATGTTACGGATGTCTTTTCGTAAAATAAGTGCATGGCTCTTTGTATAATATCTTCTTTTTCGAGTTTTATGAAATCGGTATTCTGAAACGTAATCCCGGCATATGATTTAACAATTTTACGGTTGTTTATTAATATAACAGTTATTTTTTATTAAATGTTTTTAGTAATCTATTTTCTAAATAATGTGAAGAAAAAATATTTGAAGAATTTTAATTTCCTTTGTACTCTACTTATAGACACTCAGTGTACATATTTCGAAAAAAATCTAAAAAGTACATTTGTTTGTTTTTAATAATGTTTCTATCAATAAAAGAACACACTTGCTAATAAGCTACATTATTAGCATCTCGCGTCCTATGCCAGACAGATTTTTCTCGCTTTGTGGTAATATGTATGTGACCTGAATTTACTTTTAAAATTAACTGTACAAATATTGTTATATAAAATTGGATGCTTTTGTGAGCTGAGTTTTTGAATTTTTTTTAGTAAATTCAGATCATTTAATTAAGTAGCATCAGATTTTATATTTTATAATTTGTGTACCGCACACGTGTACATTTTTCAAGGCCAACGACCTTGAAAATTTTTTTGTTTTAAATTGTAAAATATGCATACGTTTTGATGCACAGATTTTTCGGAGATTTCAGGTGCTTCTTCTTGTGTGTCATCGCATGACTCTCCTCCTGATTCTTTTTTTGAGACATCAAGAACTTCAGTCATAACGAGTCTCTTGTGTATTTTCTTCATTGGCTCCTACTCCACCGATTTTTTTGCTAAAGCACGATTGTTATGTTAGTAAAATATTGATATATGTGTATATGTATAAAGACATAACATAATATTCTAATCGCACAATGTACAAATGTAGCAATATTTCCATTTGGAAAATGAATTTTGATTGCTCCATTTACTTTGTTATTATACATGTTGATGACTTCGATAATGACTACTGTTGATGAGGAAGCGGACTCATCGGCAGATGCTTTATATTTTGCCTTTAATGCCGTAAAATTACTAAGACACTTTGAATGATATAGCTTTGGAAATCATTCAACGATGTTGGCAAATTGTATATTCTTTTCTTATAAATTATTTTCCTTGCAAATTATCAAGACCGGCACATTTTTCTAAACGGGCTTGTGAACGGAATTATTATATATTTTTTGCTATTGCAAAATTTCACAAATAAGCTTCAATGTAGCCATAGCATGAACTCATTTCTGTCTAAGTATTCAGTAACAGTCGAACTGAACCTCGGCGCCGCAGCTGTCGTCATATGTCTACATATTTTTGTTTATGAAGATTGTTTATAAAGAGAAAAAACATTTAAAGAATAATATAGACTATATAAACTCAAACTATTTCGCTAACCGGAAAAAGAAAGTACATATTTCGTACATGTTAGTAAGGAGATATATTTTATATACAAAGAAATATGATTATCTAAACTGAAAAAAAAAACATTTTAATGCAGCTTAACATACCCACATAAAATTGCACTAGTCTCAATTCTTTATGCAACTCGCCGCACCTTTGCTTGCTCCTGCCGGGGCCTTGATTCGCAACAGGACCGGTAGTAAACATTCTTCTTATATTTAATAATGTTAACTATTAGCAAAAAAATTTTCAGCCTTAAACATTTCATTGATGGTGTTGAGAAAATTTATGTTGAATCGCACTTGTTCCATTTATGCAATTCGCCGCGCGGCACCTTTGCTTGCTCTTGCCGGGGCTTTGATCCGCAACAGGACCGGCAGTAAACGTTCTTCT